GAGAGAGAGAGAGAGAGAGAGAGAGAGAGAGAGAGAGAGAGAGAGAGAGACTGCGAAAGGAGGTTGGCACGTATCACACACACTCGCACAAATAATCAAAAAGAAAGGGAGACGGGAAGGACCGATGCATTCATGCCCTCATGCAAGCAATCGACACTCAATACCTTGATGCTTTCGCTCGTCAGGCCCAAAGGCGCATACACACACGCAACCCATACATTCTTCAATGAACCATGCAACATCCATAGACTTTCGTACCCGATATGCACAACAAATTACCCAACCTTTGGAATCATGCACACATCACACGGGGACAGCAATGGAGAAAAGAACTTCGTCTTCACAATACAAAATTATCTCAACTGGTCGATCTGGCCCAGTCCCCAATCCGTCAAAACCACCGACAACCATATCCACAAGACCCTGCCGCTGTGGGCATCTGATCCCCACCACCGCTCAGTCCCTCCGACTGCCTTACCCCCAAGTCTACCGCTAACTCCACCATGCGCCGTCACTCCGTCCACCACGGGGCACGTCGAGCCTTTCCGGCGCCGCGGGCTTCACGCATAGCTTGCGCAGCTTGCAACCGAGATCAAAGAGAGTGAGAGGAAGGGATTGCGGAAATTTATAGCGAGGAAGGCGGAGGAGAGGCTGCGCAAAGCGCGGGGTGCAGATGGTCAGGACATAGGAAGGGCAGACGTTCCAGAAGGGTCGAAGGAGGCGAATCGAATGTTCTGCGTGATTGGGTTGGTTGTCCAAGTGGGGTGCGCTTCCCGCGGCCACCATATTGGCCCGACCATCCCAATTAGACAGCCGATCATTTGCTGGGAAAGGAGAAGGGGGGATCCGACCTCGCTTAGAGGGAAAATGAAGAGACATGCAAGAGGGAGATGCCCAGCAAGAAGGGAAGATGGCGCGAGGATGCAGAGTGGGGGGAACAGATTTACGCGGCGCGCAAAAATTCAAAAACCGCTGGGCGCCCAAAAATTCAAAATTCCTACTCCCACTAAGTCCCAACTGTTTCTTGCATTTCTTGGTGCGGCCGCTAACCGGCTATGCTAGACCGGAATTATGTTTTCTATTCTGGCCCCACTCCCTTTAAACAAAAAGGAAAAGGACAAAGAAAAAGGAAAATGAAACACCTCTTTCCCCCATTATCTTGAATCCATACTTCGGAGTTCTACGTGGGATTTTCCCTTAGGGGTACGGGAAACTACCGAGTGCGGATCCTGGCTTATCACATCTGTGATGCGCAAGGGGTTCTGAAAAAATAGCAGTCTCCCGACTTTTGTATAGCCCTCCTAAATTCCTAATTACCTTGATGATCCAGGCGGCCACTGCTTCGTAAGTTAGCCCTAGTCATCACCTACTCTATTTTGATGCCTATCGCATCGTTATGGATCTCCCCTCCTATTGTACACCTGATCGGGCGGCCCTTCCATCGTCAGCTGGGCCGATTAAGTTTTTTTTTTTTTTTTTTTTTTTTCATTTTTTTTTTTTTACACAGCGCGTTTTGTCGCACGGCCTTTGTAATTAGAACAGGAAAGGAAGAGGAAGATAGGGGAAAGAAGAAAGAGATTAGGGGGAAATGGTCGATCTCGAGATTAAGAGGGGGAGGAAGAGGCGGAAGAAAGGCTGTCAGCTGAGCCGGAGTAGTCGGCGCCTCCACCTCATTGAAGTGGTTTTGGACAAAGGAGGGATAGAGAAACGCCCCCGGTATGTGTGCCAAGACACGTGGTGCCAGATCCGCAATAGCCCGTACAACCCGTCGCCGCACCATGCGATTCCCTGAACCCGTCATCACCAGATGGGTCCCGGTATACGGCCTTCGTTCCCTCCTGAGCACCGCGATGACGAGGAAATGGTACATTACATTCGGCCACTGGCCGGCCACTGGCCGGCCTTGTAGATGAGTGTTCCTGCTAGTCTGGCCGCGACGCATCCTTCAAATGGCAGCTCCAGATATGGCTCCCATGCAGGATCAGGACACGGGGCCCCTTCAATTGCTTCTATCCTGATGGTTGCAGGCTCCACCATGAACGCAACATCCGTCGGGTGGACCGTCCGGCTCGGAGGAACTGCTAAGGTCAATGACCAGGGCACTCCCGGTTGGCTGGCAGAAGCGGAAAGGTCCTGCAAGGATGGGGGGTCCGGGTGTGGGATATGGTACTCTTCCCACTCCTCCTCCTCCTGCTGGTGCGGATGGGCCGGCTCCATCAAGATTGAGCCTAAGGTCGGGAAGGAGCGGCGGCTGAGGTGTCGGCTCCTGAGGGTTCCCGCGTATCCGAAATCTGCTCGTTTCCACTCCTTCCCCCGGTGGAGGTCCCTTGATCGGCGCCGCCTTGCTCTCTGGAACGGGATCTGGCTTTCGCACCCGCCCGACCTTGTTCACCTCTTCTCCGGGTCCCACCCGGCTTCCTTGTGCTTCTGGCGATGGCTGGCGACGTCTCTTCTTGGGCGTCTTCCTGAGGGCCCTCGGGGCTACTGGCTTGGGGTAGGATGAGGGAGGCCGCAGCGACTTTCGATCGGCAATGCTCACCACCTTTTCCCCCTCCCGTGCAATATAGTCCGGTATCACCGCCGTGTGGTAAGATTGTCGCAGAGCCGATGTTGTTCGTAGGCGGAGTTGGAGATCCTCTTCTTCGTTGGCAATCACTTGCGTGATAGACAGCAACTCAATGTGAATGAGCTCCAGCAGTCCCGGCCTGCTCGTCCCAATCTCCTCGAACGGGTATAATGCCACTGTGCCCTCCTTCTTCTCCGGCTTAGGCCGCGAGATGACGTAGTACACCTGCAGGTTCTCGGCGATGTTGTGATCGTCGTACGATACGGCACACCTGAACATGCCCAGCACCACCGATCGATATAGCGCGCGGTGCAATTCCCACGCGTCCTCCTCAGCTTGCGGCAACAGTTCCACGTTGTCCAACTCCACCAGGTACTCGGGAAAATTTCGCATGGGGTAGGAGCTCTCTTTGAGTTGATAGGGGAGGTTGGTGTAAGAAAAGAAGGGAGGCATTTAGTATGAGGGGGCGGGGATGGCTTGGATGTTTAAAGGATCAAGGGGGGGGAGAAGCGCGGGCAATTGAGGCACAAGTGCCAGCGGTCCGTCCGGCGTCCGGCGCAACAGTGCGTGATACGCGTGAATCGCTGGCCCCTTCCCTATGAGCGTACCACCGATCTCGCTTCCTGCACCGCGTACTCTCGCAAGAAGTTCCACACTGGTTCTTGGTGTCGATCGTCCAGGAGCGTCAAGTCGCCAATGAAAGTGGCGACGCTGTGCGCGAAGTTGGCGGCCACTTGGAGAGCGCGGAACTCGATGAACACCCTGGTGGTTTTCCGACCAGGCACCTGCGTGGCATTCACGTACACCCCCGCGTATGTTACTCGTTCGCTCAAGAGCGAGTACATGGCGAGATCTGCGATGTTGGGCCCGGGTACATTCACCTGCTGGACGTCATACCGCAACTGCCGATCATCATTGAATCGATGCCGCAATAAGTGATCCGCGATCGAAGTTTGGAAGTGCTCAATTGGCTCATTCCCCTGCTGTTGCTGGCTCATCCTGCGCGATCGAGTCCTCAACCCCAAACGACGAAGTGGATTGGAAAGAGGAAGAAGAAGAAGCAAGTGAGGATGAGGAAGCTGCGGGAGAAGGTTGGGACGGGGCCTGAGCCCGCTCGCGATCCAGCGATGGCTGGACTGGGTGAAGGCCAGCAGCGTGGCGAGTCAGTGGTCTAGCCTGTGCGCTGTGCCGGGGGATCAACTTCACAGAGTGCTGGCCTTGCGCGCCAACTTCCATCACCTCGTAAATGCCAGTATAGTGAGGGTGGATCTTGGAGGAGCGCGCGGATTTTCGTACCTGCACTAGATCCCCGATCTTATAGCGGGGCAGTGGACCAGCGGAGGCATGTCGGTTCTCGTAATCTCTGATCTGCCGCTGGTGCGTCTGATCCACGGCCCTCTGTCGCCTGTGGGCTAACGCGGGGTAGGTCCTAGCCATCAGATCCATGTAATGTTGGGCCTTTTCCCCTTGTTAAGCCCGGGTCGCTCTAACTTTCGTACCCACTCGGGGTGACAACTGCACCTTGGGGATACTATTCAAGTTGGTTCTCAGTTGAAATGGGGAAACCCCTGTACTGCTATGGGGGGTAGCCCGCTGGACGGCCACTATGTGGTCGACAATGACCGGCCAGGGCCTGGTATCTCCTCCAGTGATGTTCCGCCTAAGTGCGGTTTTAATCATTCGATTGGCGTTTCCCACGAGTCCGTTGGCCTATGGCCAATGTCCTCGTGAGTACAAGATCTTAACGTCAGCCCTTACGAGATGCCGTTCTACCTCCCCTTGGAACCTGTTATCCATGTGGACCTCTTCTACGTTCAAATGCATGCACAAAAAGCGATTAATATACCAGGTTACTCCCTGCGAGCTCCGACTAGTCATAGGATAGGCCTCGATCCATTTAGAGAAACGGTCGACGACCACTAGAAGGACATTGAGATCACCCTGATCGACGGGACCTTTCGGTATATTGATATCTGTCGTATCGATGCTAACTCGTTGAGTCGTTAGAAGGGGCGTTCTACTCTAGTCGGTACCATCGTTCGTGGCATCTATACCGGTGTGAGAAAACCCGGGGAGGGGTCGCCTGTTGTTCACTGAGGCGAAGGGCAACAACGCATGTCGCTCGTTGTGCCCACTTCCGAGGTCCTCAGCGACAAGGCAGGGGGAAAGGGGTGAGATTGGCCTGTCACGTGCTCCACTTGAGTCTAAACATAATACGGCATTGTTGCATATAGAATTTTCTCTAATCTTAAAAGATAATAACTTAAATGTGGTCACCCTGTAGATCTGAGATCTGCAAGAGATGAGCTAGTAGAGTCTCCCCTGCAGGATCTCCGATTTGCAGGGGTATAGCTGTGATTTGTCAATCACAAAGGTAGATGGGAAAATCCCTTGAAAAAGCGATAAATCAGCAGTTAACCACTACCAAGAACAAGGCAGCATCCCCCGACTACGAAAGCATACAGATTTTTTTGCACAAATAGGGGAGAGGCGAAACTCGGTTGAAACCCCGGGGTAGATTTGCAAAATTGTCCTCCTCACTTCTCTCTAGTCACGCCATGCCCTGCTCCTAATGATTGTCTAGCTCGAGCTCCGAGTCGCTCCATAACATGCATTACAAACTTCGGGGTCACAATAATAAATAAATAAAAATAAAATATTTTTGTCATCATAGTGGTCTCAACAACACACGTCACCAAATTGAAGTCCCAGTGAGGGAAACCGCTCTCATGGCCTGATTACACCGCTGCAACGGACCCTTAAGATGTCGAGGAATAATCTATTTGAAGATCCCAACGGTCAGAAGGGGCGATTTATAGTTCACTTCATCCGTATAAAGTCTGATCCGAATTTCTTTAGCTCATGTGAAAATATTGTCCTTTGGTCTTTCAGCATGTAGGAAAAGCACGCGAAAAACTGAGTCTTCTTTTTTTTTTGAAAAAACGGGCCCAGTGCCCAAGACTGATATTACCAATAAGAAGATTGAGGCCGGGGTCCTCACAGTTTACCCGAATTGACCAACCCGAACATGCTGAGAACCGGGTTCAGCGTCCCTCATATAATGATGATGATGATGATGATGATGATGATGATGATGATGATGATGATGATGATGAATTTCTGCTGATTCTATGTAAACTGTGAGATAATAATACTAATGATGATGATGATGATGATGATGATGATGATGATGATGATGATGATGATGATGATGATCTTCGACTGGAAAGCAGTATTGGGCATGAGGTTGCCCATCACAGTATGGTGGACAAACCCCATGCCTGATGCTCATTTCTGATAATGGTCAGGGACGACCCCAAACATGTTTTTTTTTTTTCTTCTGGGAACCGGGCCTAGTGACCCTGAGGCTACTGATAGAGCTTATGATGATGATGATGATGATGGCGCTAATCTATGGTAGTCCAAGAGAAGCTATGAACTATACCAGCAACACTTGTCCTCTCAATGCATAAGCAACGCTTAGCCTCCACTGTATCAGACACAACACTTTCCAAGGCAATATCTATTTAGCCAAAAACCGGCTATAGCTGTCGTGTTCTCCCTGGCAAGACTAAACCCCAGCCCCTTAGGTTTGTCATGACAGTCTTCCCCAGTCCACCACTGGATTGCCTTCCTCCCTCGACGAGTCCCCAGATCTCTCTACCAGGCCTCACGCCCCTGCTATAAACAGGTTACAAGGCTACGCCCCGGCACCGGCCAGCGTCGTCCTGGCATCGGCAAACCAAGAGAAAAAGAACAACACATATGTGTCAGGCGTCGGCCAGGCTTCTACCACCGCTTAAATACTGTGGCCAAACTAGAGAGAAACTAAGATATCGCCAGGAAAGAAAAAACAGATGAAAACTGATACGTCCATAGTATTGGTGGTTAGTTCGAAACTATGCACGCTTGTCCTGGATCTTTAAAGGCAACCGTCTGTCTCTCAGTCCCATACATAGCACTAGCAGTTAAGCTTGGAAAAATATTGGAGAAATCTCCTCCCCCCCCCTCACCTTCCCCCTTGTCCCAACGCTGCCTCCACCGTAGAGAATCGCCATGATTGCAGGCATTCTCCATTGGCCCCAGCTTGGGACAGACCCCCTCCCCCTTGTTCCTTCAAAGATATCCAATTCCCACCTAAAGTATGCCTTTGGCAAACCTCTACCCTAATCTGCCCCCGCTAGGATATGATGTTGCATTGTATATCTATCCCAGCCCCAGAATAGGGCAATCCCCACACTCTGGCCCCACCCCCTTCGGGGCATTCATCCCCCACCTTGTGAAGCCCCTGCGGAGCAGAGCTCTCCCCCTCAACACCCAACCACCATCCTCCAAAAGCAAATCATCATAGCTCACTGGAGGAGAAAAAAGAATGTAGGCTCCCTTAGTAAAGAAAAAAGCACTAGGCATTTAGATCTCCAGATTAAATTCTAGGATCCTAAAATTGAGTGCTAATGAGACAAAAGAAAATAAAAATTTCTTGATAATTGATGGAGAGTAGTGAATAGTCGATTCCATGAAGATGAGGGAAAGCAACGAATTACCGTTGGAATTTCTCACCTGAAATTAAGGAGTTGTGAGAAAAAAATAAAATAAAAATTGAGAAGTTAAAAACAAATAACTTGGATTTTCAGTCTAGTTATTTCTGGATAATTGATCGAGAGTAGTGAATACTCGAGTCCATGAAGATGAGGGAAAGCAACGAATTACCGTTGGAATTTCCCACCTGAAATTAAGGAGTTGTGAGGTGGAAGTTGTGGTTAATGCTTCTGCCACGTGGCACTTCACCTACTGAAGAAGAGAGAAAGAGAGAGAGAGAGAGAGAGAGAGATCTGGGCTCGTGGAAGTTGTAGTTAATGTTTCTGCCACGTGGCACTTCACCTATACAAGAAAAGAGAGAGAGAGAGAGAGAGAGAGAGAGAGAGAGAGAGAGGAATGTGGCACTTCGCCCGATAAAGAAAGCACATGAAAAAATAAAATAAAAATTGAGAAGTTGAGAACAAATAACTTGGATTTTCAGTTTAGTTTTTAAGGTATTTGAAGAAATACCTTATAGTTATCTAGGTATTTAAAAAATACCTTTTTAGTCAGTCTAGAGATACATAGATACAGATTTCAGATAAATAAGAGAAGATTAATAAGATATATTATTAAGTTGGTGAATCAGATGATTAATTAGCTGATGACTTGAATGATGAATAGGTTGATTAATTAGTTGATGATCTAGATGATGATTGGGTGATAATTAATTGATTAGTTGATAAATATAGACTATTTACTGGTTTTAGAAGACAATGATTAAAATCTGGAATTTGTAATGGATGGAAATGAAAGACAGAACAGAAAGTTTAATCAAGAAAACGTGAGTTACTCCCCCCCCCTTCCTCCCTTTCTCCAAGGAAACTTATAGAGCCATCTCTCTCACCCACAACCTCTTCCCCTTCACTCCCTCCTATCTGTAAGGTTTACAGTGGATCGGGGGGTGGTTTCCAGTTTGAATCTCATGTTGTATGACCAGTGATAGTCCAATGTCT